CCGCCATCCCGGGACTGCAGCTTCCCCAAGTGGCGCCGTGACTCCTACCAGGGACGCGCCTTCTCCATTGTCTATGCCACTCTCAATGGCACGTCCACCGTGGACGTCGTGGCCCCGACTGTGGCCATGCGGGCCAAGTGGGTCAGCGGCCTGCGTCGCCTTGTGGACGCGGCCAATGTGTCCATGGTGGCCGGGCAGATGCCCGCCGGGAGCTGGCGTTGCGACGAGTCGGTCAGCGTCGACCGCCAGGCCCGTGCGGCCTTCCTCATGGCCGACCGCGATGGCGATCGTGGTATGACCCTGGAGGAGTTGACTCGTCTGCTGGTGACCCTGAACCTCCGGGTCCCGAGCGCCTCGGTGGCCGCCCTCTTTGAGAAGTACTCCCGTGTGGTGGACTCCTCCGGGGCCCCGGTTTCCGAGAAGGAGCAGTCTAGCGCCCCTTCGCGGCTCTTTTCGCGCCGCTCCCGCCGCCTGGATTACACCTCCTTCTTCCAGTTGTATTGCGAGATCAGCAGCCGTGGTGACGTGGAGGCCGTCTACCGGCGCCTGCTCTTCAGCGAGTCTACTTCCATGTCCAGCACTCTGGCCGACTCGGTCTCCACTCCGGAGCTCCCGGGCATCTCGCGCGACCTCTTCATGAAGTTCCTTCTGGTCGAGCAGCAACACACCGAGGAGGATGTACGCCCTCCTCTGCCTTGCCTCTTTGCCTGCTTTTTCTCTCTCCCTCTCTCTCTCCCCCCCCCTCTTACATGATTCTCCCCTGCGCCCCCCCCCTGGCACAAAGGCCTACCGCATTTGCGAGTACTACGTCGATCACTCCATCGGCAATCGCATTCCCATGGATCGCTTTGCTTCCTACATCCAGCATCAGGCGTCCTTCTATGACATTGTCAACCAGAAGGTCCACCACGACATGACCCGGCCCTTGACGGACTACTGGATTGCGGCGGCCCACAACAACCACCACTCGACGGACATCATTTGCCACCGGACCCCGATCGCTTCGCTCATTCATGCCCTGCGCTCCGGGTGCCGGATGCTGGAGCTCGACTGCCACGATGGCCCGGGTGACAGCCCGGTCATCCACCATGGCCGCATGTCCAGCAACCGCGTTCCCCTGGCCGAGGTCCTGCGTGCCATTCGTGAGGATGGCTTCGACTCCTCGCCCTACCCTATCTTCCTGAGTCTGGTCAATCACTGCAGCCTGACCCAGCAATTCCGCATGGTCGAGATCATTCAGGAAGAGCTCAGCGGCATGGTGCGCATATGCATCCGCAAGGAGACCCCCTCCTCCCGGGGGGGGGGGGGGGGCTTTATGTGCCGCCTTTTTTGCTGGTGTCCCCCCCGAACAGCTCCTCCTTCCCGGTGTACCCCTTCCCTTTCTGACACTCTTCACTTGTATCCCGCTCTTCCGGGGCTCAGCTTGCCACTCCCCAGTTCCCGGGCGGTATGATCCAGAAGCTGCCCTCGCCGGAGGAGCTCATGCACAAGATCATCATCAAGGCCCACCCCCTGCCGGCGGGCATCTTCGAGTCCGGTGAGCCGGAGAGCGCCTTCTTCAGTGATGCCGCCGATGATCTGTCTTCCTCCGCCGAGACCGATGATGATACCGACGACGAGAAGGACCCGATGACCACGCGCTCTTCCACCACCTCTTCCTCCTCCGGTGGCCGGTCGCGCTTCAGTCGTGGCTCCTCCAGCGGCCAGCCCAAGCGCCAGGTCTCCAAGGAGCTGTCTTCCCTGGTGAACTACTGCCGCCCGACGCAGTTCCAGGGCTTCGAGCACAGCAAGAAGAACCACTATGCTGACAACTTCTGCACCATCGGCGAGCGCCATGCCAGCCGCCTTGCCCGTCGGAGCCATGCCAAGCTGGGTGCGTGTGTCTCCCCCCATCGGGACTTCATCCTCGACTCTGTTTTTTGCCGCTCTCTTCCGTTCTCTCGCCACTCACGCCCTCTCTCCCCCCCCCCTCTCTCTCTCTCTCTCGCACACACACGCACACACGCACACAGTCGAGTTCACTCGCCGACAGATTGCTCGTGTCTATCCGCTGGGTGTTCGCTTCGATACCGTCAACATTGAGCCGCATCTGCACTGGGCTGCCGGCGTGCAGATGGTGGCCATGAACTATCAGCGCATTGATCGGCCGCTGCGCATCAACCACGGCCGGTTCCTGGAGAACGGTCGGTCCGGGTACCTGCTGAAGCCGCGGCACCTGCTGGCCAGCCCGCCGGAGCCGACCGCCGAGTCTTCTCGCCTGGAGAAGCACTGGCGCCTGACGCTGGTGGTCATGTCCGGCTATCACCTGCCCAAGCCTCGCCATGAGGATACCACCGAGGTCATTGACCCGTATGTGGTGATGGAGATCCTGTCCGATCGGTCGCGGTGCTTCACCCCGCCGGCGGTCAACAAGCTCCCGGCCGCGTCGCAATTGGCGCTGGAGGCCGCGCAGATGGCTCGCTCGGCTGGCGCCAGCGGCGGCTTGGTGGCCCCCTGCAACGCGTCCACCACCTCGGTCTCCTCCGGCATCTCCACCTCCGGGTCCTTCAGCTCGGCCTCGGCCGCCGCGTCGGCCGGCCTGGTGGGCGACTCGCTGGCGGCCTCCTCCACCTCGGTGGCATCCGTCCCCCCGACGGTGTCCTCCTCCTCGGCGTCGGTCAACTCGCACGCCTCCTCCAACTCCTCTCTGAACAATGCCGGGTCCATGTCCTCGCGCTCTTCCACCCGCGACCAGCGTGACTCCCAGTCCGAGCAGGCGGCCTTTGCCACGCGCCACCGTCGGCGGACGCGCACCTGCTCCGACAACGGCCTGACGCCGGTGTGGGGCGAGGTCTTCTGCTTCGACATCCCGGACCCGTCGGTGGCCCTGCTGCACTTCACCATCATGGACAAGGACGTGGAGTATGACGACTTCGTTGCCACCGCCACCATCCCCCTGCGCTGCATGCGCCCGGGCTACCGCAACATTTCCCTCTTCGATTACCGCTATGAGGCACTGCCCACCAGTAAGCTCTTCGTCCATGCCCACATCGACTACTACATCCCCTCGTCGGAGATCTAAGAGCCCCCTGCTCGCCTCCCGAAGCCGGCTCGCCCCTTCCACTTGTAATAGTGAGGTGGAGGTCCGATGGACAGGAGAGGAGCCCCGCCAGAGTGGCTCCTCCCTGTGTATTCTCCGCTCGCTGTTTTCAGCATTTTGATTTTGACCGCACTTTACTGTACGCGCGCCCCCCCCCCCCCCCCCCCTACCCCCCACCCGTCCCTCCCTGCTCTCCCCACAGCTGGGGGCGTGGGGCCGATGAGGCCCGGCGGGCAGGAGGAAGAGGGAGGAAAATGGGAAAGTGGCGAGAGAGTGGTGCAGAGAGGCTGCCATACATTTCTCCCCTCACTTCTCCCTCCTCCCCCCTGTCCCCCCCCCCCTCCCTTCCCCCTCTTTCTCAGCGTGCGGGCTGTGTCCTGTTTGTGATTTGGGCGCCGGTTTCTCTCGACCCCCGGATTCCTGTGTGCTCCCCCCTTATGCTCCTGTGTTTCTCCCTCTCTCTCCCTCTGGCCAGGGGGAGAAACATCGGCGCCAGGGCGTCCAGGATCCACGCCAGTTTTGTTGATGAGTTCCCCCCCTCCTCTCCTCCCTTTCCCCTCCTCCTGTCTCTCTCTCTCTCTCTCTCTCCCCTCTTGCCCTGGTGGCCGGCCGGAGGCATCTCCCTCCCTCTCCCTCCCCCTCCCCTTCAGACCTCCCTCCTCCTCCCCCTTCGCCTGCTTTCTCCCGCTCTGCTCCCTGTTTGATCCACGTCCGAAGATTTTGCACCACTGTGGCCACATGTGATGGGGGGCGTGAAAGCATGCGCGCGTCCCTACGGGCGCACACATGCATGCTTTCCCACGTGTGCATGCTCTATTCACGCCTAGTACACCCTCCATCCTTTCCCCTCCTCCTCCCCCAAACCCCAAACCAACCGCCAAAGATTAATAGATGGTAGAAATTTAATAGCCCCTCCCCCTTGGTCTGGACCTCCTCCCTTTCTTGTGTGTTTCCTTCTCTTCCTGCCTCTTTCACCCAAAAGTGGGGGGAGATGTGGTTTGCTTTTGCGAGCATTTGATGAATGAAGGAGGAGGCACATGTCGCTCTCTTTCTCTCCCTGTCCCTCCCCCTCCTCTCCCCACCCACTTCCCACCCACTTCCCACCCACTCCCTGGAGCACCTCCCCCTCTCGCTGCTAGAAAAGCAGGGCTGCTGTACGCAGGGCACATATCCAAAAAAAGGAGCGGAAAGAACCTCTCACTCATGGGGAAAGAGAATGCAGGGTGCGGTTAAATTCTTTTTTCTTTCAAACAAGGAGGGGAGAGAGAGGTGGTCGGGGGGGGGGGGAGGAGGGGGGAGCGAGGGGGCGAGGGGAAGACAGTTCCCTCAGTATGGGGACCACCACATAGGAGAAGACTTGGGAGGGTGGAGACCATCCTCTCCCTCTCTTCCCCCTGCCCCCCCCCCCCCCCCTCCCCTCCCCTCGGTCCTTGTGCATGGGAGCGCGTGTCAGACATTAGGCCTGGAACTCCTGCTCCTTCCCCCCGGGCGCCGGCGCGTCGACCAGCAACTCCGGCGAGGAGGAAACATCACGCACGGCACCGACCGCCGCCGGGGAAGCGGCGGCTGCTCCGACCGCAGGACCCTCGACCGCGTCGACCAGCGGTGAATCCGGGTCCGTCTCGTTCATCCAGCGCCGGGCAGCGGCCAGATCGTCGGCATTGAGCAGCAGGTCCAGGGCCTCGGGGTGCTGCGAGTCAAGATCATGGGCGGCAGCCACCGCCGCAGCAGCCGATGAGGGGTGAAGCTTTTGCCCGGTGGCCGCCTCGTAGGCCGCGGCACCAACAGCATTGAAAGCGGCAGCCGCCGCGAGAACTGCCGCTTCGAAGGCCTTGCCGGCCTCGGAGTTTCGCGCAGCCGTGGCCGAAGCCGACAACCGCCGGGCAGGCTCACTTTCCTGCAGGGCCTCCAGGGCAGCGGCCGCCCGACGGGCAGGCTCACTGGCCTGCGCCGCACGGAAGGCATCGGCCACGGCCCGAGCGGCATCACTCTCCTTGATGGCATCCGTCGCGGCTTGGGCCCGCTGCTGCAGGCCGTAAGTGGCATCAAGCTGCCGGGCAGCCCCAGCGGCCGCCATAACGGCGTCCTGGGCCGCGGCCAGAGCGGTGGCCGCACTCACGCGGGCAGCCTCAACCGCCGCGTCGGCCCGCGCGCCAACCTCATATTCGCGATCCAGAGCACGCGCCTGCTCCAGGTGGTACGCGAACTTGGCCGAGATGCCGTGCTTCGCGTCGAAGGCCTTGGCATCTTGAAGGATCTTCTCGGTCAACTTGTAACCCCGGTCCATGAGCTCGGCCATGATGCTGAGTTTAGGCTGGCGGGCAGAAAAGGGAGGGGGGGAGGGGAGGGTGTCGTGCGCGAAAGAGGAAGAAAGAGAAAGCAAAGTGAGCGGTTGACAAAGGGGGAGGGGGAGGATATGTCAGGAGAAGGAAGGCCGGCCGAGGGAAGGCTGAGGGAAGGGACGTCCATGGCTGGAGCAAAAGATCCTCGAAGGAGGGAAAAAAAGAAGCACACAGGCCCGTACCTTGTGCTCCTGGCGCAGAGGGCCATCCTCAATGCTGTCCTCCGGGCCAAGGAGGAGATCCTCCTCGCCGGCCGATCCGTACTCCTTGGCGATGCGCGAGGCCCGGGTGGTCATGACCGAGCCGGAATCGTCAATTTCAATGAAGCCATCCGTATCGCTGGCAGCCACGCTGTCCGAGCCGTCGATTACCAGCGAGGCAGCTAGCTGCTCGCTGGTGAACAGATGCGTGATCTCCACCGGGCGGCCGTTGATCAGGGCCTGGTGCAAGAGGATGGCCGTCTTGGCGGCCTGAGGACGCTTGAAGAGGATGATGGCGCGCTTGGTGCGGGAGTTGAGGCCAGCGCCAGCCACAGCAGGCAAGTCCTGGTTCGATTCCTCCGACGACTGGGGTGGCCAGGAAATGACATGGATCGCGGAGATCTCCCCGCAGAATGCAAAGAAGTCGTCAACTGTGTGTGTTTGTGGGTGTGGGTGTGGGTGTGTCGTGTGCGGTGGCGGGCAGCGAGAGTGTCAGCATCGACGACGAGATGGGAGCGGAGGGAGGGGGGGGGGCAGAAAAGGAACACGGGCAAAGCGAACGCACGATCCTTCTCCTTGACCTCGGAGGCAATGTTGGTAACCAACATGGCCGAGGGGGTCGGAGTGGCAGGGATGGCCGACTCGGGGAAGCCATAGAACTTCCCCTTGCCGAAGAATGGAGATGAGCTCATGCTGCGTGGGATGCGGGTGTTTCTCGAGGGAGACGGCCGCTTAAGGAAGAGCAGGGAGGCGGGGGGGGGGGGGGGGGGGGGGGGGGGGGGGGGGGGGAGGCAAACGAGAGGCGAAGGAGGCGGAAAAAGTGAGGGAATATGCAGGGTGTCCAGTCGTGGAGAGACTGAAAACAAAGGAGTAGGTGTGGTCGGAAAGAGGGGGAGAGGGATGAAGAGTGAGTCGGGTGGAGGCTGCGAGGGAGGAGGTCGCGGAAAAAATGACAACACCCTCCCCCAGCCTCCATTCCCCCTCGCCCCTCCGGCTTCCTCTGTTCCCAACCCAGGAGGGGAGCTCGAGATCCCCCCCAAGGGAGGACCTCCCCCCCCCCCCCCCCCCGGGGGGGGGGGCGGGGGGCGAGAGCCCGGGGCCGCCGATCATCGGGATCCCCGCCCCGTACCTTTCCGAGGGGAGGGGGCAGATCCCAGGTGGCTGGGGAGAAAGAATTCAGGAGCCGCGGCAACGGGTGCCTCCCCCCCCCCCTCCACGCGCGCGCGTGCGTGCACACGCATGCACCTGCATACTTCGGGCGGTCTCTGAGTCGGGCTTTCGCCCGTGGGGGGGGCGGGGGGGGGACACCAGGGCCCGAGAGCACTGTACACCTCTGAGTCAATCCGGATCCGCTGGCCCCCCTGCTGCTCTGTGCGCGGCCCACGATCCACGGTCCTGCCGGCCAAGGCGGGAGGAGGGGGGGGAAGGAAGGCTCAGAAAGACCGCACTCAGAGCCCCATACCGTCACCATGTGAAAAAGGACGATCAGCCCATCCCTGGATGTTTGTCGGCGACACTGCACATTGGATTTGGCCTTGTTTCTCTGTGAATATCCTCGGGCTTTCTCTGTCCTCTCGCGCGCTCTCTCTCTCTCTCTCTCTCTCTCTCTCTCTCGGCCCCTCTCTGGGTATGTTCGAGATGCAAGCAGGAGTTACGGCCTCAAGACCTCCAGGAAGACAGTCATGAAGGCGGCAGGCCCCGGTACGGGGAGAGAGATATGCTTGCTGGCGCGGTTGTCGAACTGGTCGAGACTCGGGTCAAAAAAAAAAGAACTGCAAGCAGGAACTGCCAGCACCTTCTCACACCTGCTCCCCGTTCCGGGGGGGGGGGGGGGGGGTGCATCACAAAAGACCACCGCATGTATCGCCCTGAGAGGCTATCTCTCCGCGGCACGCTCGAGATATGAACACAAGTGAGGCATATAAGATGCGGTCAACGGCCTTCCCGATTGGCCGGTTACCTTGGGCCCCTCCGAGGGTCTCCAGCCCCGCCCTTTTCCGGCTGGCCTGTTGCCCCACTGCCCCCCCCCCCCCCCTCACCCGTCCCACCAGCCGCGGCTCCCGGGGCGGCCTGGCCACAGTTGGCTTCGTTGCGGGGCCTGGGCCTGTGGCGGAGCGCGGTCGGGGATCACATGCTTACGAAGGGTATATGTGCCACGATGCTAATGCCGAAAATTGGGGCACATATTCATGCAGCTCCGTCGGCTGTCGACATTTCCCGGCACCCGCAATCACCGGCTCCCTCCCGCGAGGGAACCCCCCCCCCCCCCGCGAACGGAGCCATCTCCCATGCAGAGTTGCCAGGCTCACAGGCAGGCGCTGGGGGGAGCATCCTCTGCCAACAGGCGCAACTGCCCTATCCCCCAGCGCTCCTGTCTTCCCTTGATCCAGGGCATTTGAAGGCCCCTTGCCGGTCCGGGTTGCTGGTCCCCCCACCCGAGTCCAATTGCCTCCTTCCCCCTCCTCCTCTTCGGGCTTTTCATCCATCGCTGCCTGGCTCTCCGTTCCTCTCTCTCTCTCTCTCTCTCTCCCCCCCCCGCCCGGCCAGTTGTTGTCCTCCTCTCCCTGCGGAAATGTCGCCCAGCCAGAAGGCACGCAAGCGCCGGTCTCAGCCGCCGCGCGCCGAGGCCGACCAGCCAGCCGGCCCGCTGGCTGACCAGCCGGTGTCTTCCTTTCCTTCCCCCTCTCCACCCTTGCCTGCCGGGGGTCCATCTGCCCTGGACCTAGATCGTTTGTCCCAGTCGGCCGCCTGGCGCTTCCACGAGGACTCCTGCGCCCAGGATCTTGGGCCGCTGTTTAGTGGCACCCTCGGCCGCCAGGATTTCGACGTGGCCCGGGTGTTGTTCCTCGGCGCACGGCCCCGGCGTGGCCGAGTGCCGGTCGGCTCGCGTGCTCGTGTCCACCGAGCCCCACCACTTTACGAGCTCCGGGAGACCATGCTCCACACGTCGGTGCGGTCACTTTTGGTAGGGTCGGAGATTGGCGCCATGGCGGCAGCCGGCCGGGAGCCCTGCCCGGCCATTCTCGCCGAGGCGGAGCTCTTCGATGCCTGTGGCGATCCCTCCACCCGGCGTTTTCTGATGCGTGGTCGACAGTCGACTGCTGGGCGGGTCCGGTCCATTTCGGACCGCCTGCGCGCCCGTCTTGGCTTTCCGATCCTTCACCATGCCCTCGGCCTGTCGACCACCGATGCCAATGCCGCCCTGACCTTGGTCATGGAAGGCATGACCACGGCCACGGCCGTCAGTCGGCGTTTGCTGTCTCGCTTCAGCCCCGGCTGGCTGACTCGAGCTCTGGCGCCTTCGCCGGCTCCTTCGGCCTCCACCTCCCTGGATCAATCCACGGACCTGGCCTTCCGGAGCACAGTCGGCGGAATGTTCGTCGTGTCGCGTGCGCAACTCGGAGCCATGGTGGCCGCGGCCGTACGTGCCGGACACCTACCGAGTGCCTTCAACCGATCGGGCGACGCCATTCGCCGGGCCATCGATGTCGGCGCTGGTGATGGGTCGGTCTTGCGGGAGCTGCGTTTCGGCCCGCCGGCCCCGACGGCCGAAGCCACCGCCGTGGATGGATCTCCCAGGCGCCACAGCCACTTGGCCCTGGACTTTTGCATGGCGACCGAGTTTAGCACTTGGATGACGCGCGTTCTCCAGCAGAATCCCGCCATCGACGCGGTTTTCGGAGGGACCAATCTGGGTGCGCATTTGTCCACTCTCCTTGTCGCCAAGAAGGCAGGAACACACTTACAGGCCTGGGCCGCGAAGAGGGGGATGCCGCTTGTTTGGCCTGCCGTCCCAAGAGGGCAAATACGCGAGCATGCATGCTCGTGTATGTGCGTGTGTGTGTGTGTGTGTGTGTGTGTTCCCATGTGCATGCGTGTCCGCATACTGATGTGTGTATATGTGGATGCCCATGCCATTGGACATGAAGGCACACGGGGCCACGCGTGCCTGCGTCCCTGAGGCCCCACCGTCGCCACCAAGCGTGTGCATGACGCTCACACTGACCCTTTCTCTTTCTCCCCGCCCCCCGTGCCCCACTCTCCCCCGAGTGAAGATGAGGTCATCACCGAGCACGATCCCTTTGATTTGGTGATGTGTCTCAATGTCCTGGATCGTGTTGACGACCCTCTGGCCTTGATGCATCAGCTGCGTGGCCTGGCCCGGCCACCAGCCGACGACCCGGCCCGCGTCGGCGGCCTCATCTTGCTGGCCGTGGTCCTGCCCTTTAGCCCCCAGGTGGAGGGCGGCTCTTCATGGTCGCGACCCAGCAATCCCCTGACCGGGGTGCCGGTCCCTCCGCCCGGCTCGTCCCGACACCACTCGACCATCTGCTCCTGCTCCAAGCAGCGTCTCCCGGGCCAGCTTCAGTCGCATTTGACTTTCCTGGCCGCGCCGGAGGATACTCCCGTGCGCACGGAGCTTGACTACAGCCGTCCAGACACCTTCGAACGGCATGCGGTGTGGTTTGTGCGCGACGTCCTCCCCCGGGCCGGCCTTCGTGCGGTGTCCATCGCTCGGGCGCCGTACCTCTCGCACCGATGTGGCAGTCTCTTCGGTGCGGCCTACCTCAGCGACCTGCTGATCTTGTGTCGGGTGGTCGATCGGGCCCCGCTGCGCTGAGTTCCGTGCTCTGGGCTTTCCCGTACCGCGGCAGGCCGCGGTATAACCCCCCCCCCCCCTTCCCATGCGCCTTCTATCTTTCCCGCCTGGGTCTTCTGTCCCTCTTCGGAGGGGCTTTTTTTTCTCCCCGAGCGCATGCTGCCGCGCCTGGGGCTTAGATCTATCGCGCATGTACCGCATGTATTCCTGTCCTTGTGTATGCCGGACGGGCTTCCTCGCCCGCCAGCCCGCCAAATACATCCTCCCGGCATCCTGCCCCGGTTTTGATGCTTCGCTCTGCCCCCCCTCTCGCCGTCTGTCTCGTTTTCGCACGTGCGGGCGCGCGTGTGTTTATATATATGTATATATATATACGCGTGTGTGTGTGTGCGTGTGTGAGAGAGGGCGCGCGCATTTGCCAGACATCGGGCAAAGTGCCTGTGCACCCTGGGGAGAGGGGCATGAAGTGTGCCGGGATTAAATAGTCCCACCATGGCAACACCATGCCGGCCTCGATCCCGGCCTTCAGTGCCATATGGCAGCGAAACCGCCATGTTTACATCGCACCTGCCGCTTCCCCCTCTTCCCGAGTGCCAAAAGCAGCCCATGCCTGCCTCTTGGCTCAGCCAAGTGCGATTGCACGTGTGAGGACAGACATTTCCTGGAACTGCTCGCGTACTATCGAGCCAACCTCCGCACGCGCTGTCAGCTGGAGCACGGCCGGGGATTTTTGCGCGAGCAATTTTACCCCCTCCCTCCCCATGCTCTGGATCGCGCGTGCATTACCCATCCGGTCTAGGATGCCCTGGGTGTCCCTGCGGGTCCGGGGCATTTCCTCTCGCGGTGGGATTCCTTCACATGTGCTCCTCCGCGCTCTCCTGCCCCGCCGCCCCGGCACACCTTGCACCGGCCTCACCCGCACCAGGGATGATATGGCTTAATTGTCTGGCGCACGGCCGACAGGGCTTCCCTTGCCGTCGCCGCCGCCGCCGCCGCCGCCGCCGCCGCCGCCGAAATCCAGCGAAAGAACGATCTCCTCCCCGCCAGATGGCCTCCGCAAGGAACGGACGGATCTGGTGGAAGCAAGGAGGCATGTCCGTGTCGTGTCCAGAAAAGCGCCAGGCTTTCGTAGCTTTGGATGTGTATTTTTGAACCTCCAGCGGAAGGATTGTCCGCTCGGGCCGCTTGGCGCTCCCTCCCTGGGATCATGTTCGCCCCTGTCTGAGTTTCTCCCGGGCCCGGGGCGAAGCCGGGAGCGAAGTGGATTCACCGCGCGAGAAGCGAAGATAGGGAGCGCGCCCGGGGCGCAAGGGCTGACCGTGTGAGGGGAAGCCCCATGGAGGAGACCGTGGACGGGGGGTCGAGACCAGGAGGCGGAGAGGCGGCGTGAGGCCGCAGCACGCACACACGCCTTTGCCCAGCCAAAGCCCCACACCTACACCGGGGAGGTTGCACCGTGGCGGCGAGGACGAGGCCAAGGCCTGCAACAAGCAGAGTCTCAGGGAATGGATCACGGATGCCCCTGCATGAGGTACCGGGGGGTTCCATCAAAAAAAAGGCGTGCTCCCCTCCCTTCGGCCTGAGTGTCGAGACACGCGAGTCACTCCCTGTGGCACACAGGGCGAGGGATTCGCCTTGGCCCAGGCACCCGCATATGAGGCTCCCCGACGGCGAGCAGCCCCGTTTCGAGGTTTCCCCCCTTCTCCCACCAACCCGAAGGACACACAGTGCACGATGTCAGGAAAAGGGGGGCTATTGAAGGGAAGGGGCTTGGAATCATTCCGCCCGAGGCGCAACACGCGGCCTGACATCGATCTCCGGTATGTCGGTGTGGCGGCGCGCGCACACCCCTCACACAGGTGCACCTCTGGCCCTCCATCAGTTGATCTGGTCCGAGGTGGACACAAGCCGGGCAAGGGCCATGTCGAGGATGCGCACTCCCAGGAAGTTGGCCGCGCGGCTGGCCCAATCGGGCTGCGGCTTGGCCGAATCGCGGGACTCCTCATCCTTCAGCTGTCGCATGACCTTGATTCCTTGCCCCATGGACTTGTACTTGGACGGGGCACGCGTGGACCAGGTCCGATTGAAGCGCCCGGCCAAGCTACGCAGCCGCGCCAGGAACCCCCGGTATGGGGTGCACTGGCGCAGGGGTTCCGGCATAAGGCGATACATGGACCGTGCGACACCCAAGATCAGCAGCCCATACAGCCGGTCGATCGGCCGCATCGGGAGCTTGTAGGCATGGGCAATCTTGTCCGGGAGCATGATGGCTGTACTTCCCCCACCCCCCCCGCCGGCGGCAGACATCAGTCGACGCGTCGAACCCGTTTCCCCGTGCAGCAGGTGCGAAAAAAATCCCCACCGATGCCGGGCAACCCAGGCAGCAGCAGCAGCCAAGCAGCGAAATGTAGGGCGCGCAGAAGGGCAAAGCAAGGAGCGTGGCAGTTAGCACAAGAAGCTCCCAGGGAGGGAAGGGCGAGTCGGAAAGGGGGCGAGGGGGCGGTGCTGCTCATGAGATATGCCCACCCACATGGAGGATCGAGGGCAGCGCGAGAGTGGCGCCGAGGGCATCACACGCACCGGTGATCGAGGCCAGGCTGTTCAAACCGAGCGAGCGCTCAATCGGCAGGAAGGGCACCAGCACAATGTCGCTAATGAACTTGGCGTCGAGCGAGTGCGGTGCCAGCATGGCAGGCACAGCATCAAACCACTCCTCATCATCGGGCTCCGTGCCGGCCGCCAGGGCGGCCTTCCTATGGAGGGGGTTGCCTTTGTGGCTGCCTCGCGCGACCTGGGGCTCCTCCTTGGTAGTCATCTCGGTGTAAATCGAATCACACACCGAGTGGAAATACACCTCCAGATCCTCCCAGCAGCTGGTGGACCCGGGACTCCGCGGGTCCAGGCCCAAGAAGGGATAGATGAATTGCCGGTTGTGCTTGATGACGGAGTCCTTCTCGTGGACGCTGAACTCCCGGCCGAGCATCTGTTCCGGGGGGGAATCGACAAGCAAGTTAGCACACAGCATGATAAGACACAGCCAAGGGGGGGGGGGGGGGGGGGGGCGGACACCGGGCTCGGGGGCTCTTCCCTGCGAAGTCATGATCTGGCCCCGGCGGAGAAGCGCTCATCCCTCGGTCTGGCGTGCCGGGTGTGTCCCCCCCCCCCCCCCCCGGGCCCCTGGTCCCCTCATGTGTTCGGGCACTCTGGCGGCCGTGTGGTCGGGCGGGCGGGTCTTCTCGACGCACGATTTCGGTGGCGATAAACTGCATGTACTGGACGGTGGCCGCGATCCACTGCAGGGCCCCCGGATCGCGGGCGCTGTAGGTCGATCCGAGCGGGTACCGCGGCCCGAGATTCGGAGCCGGCTTCCCATCGACCGTCAGCTCCGGAATCAGGCCCTTCGCCCGCTCGTGCATGCGATAAACCCGGCGACTGGTCGAGAGAACCTCATTAAAGGTGCCGAAGGCTGTGATGCGGTGAGGGTGCCCCAGAGCCGGGACCAGGGCGATAGTCAGCAAGGGACAGTGCCACCCGAAAAGCGGGCAGGTCTTAATGTGGCGGCAATTCCCCGCGCGCCCCCCCCCCCACTCAGAGCGGCAGGACGGCCGCCCGACAGGTTGCGGGAAATGGTCCGGCCGGAATGCGAAGGACCCCTTGGGCTTGTTGGGGAAAAAGAAGAAGAAGAACAAAAGGAGGGCCCCCCAAAATGACAAGGCCCCATTGCACACACGCACCGATCCGGTACATCATGGCCAGGGTCCCATTAAAGCGCTTGGTAATGCCGCCACTGGCCGGGGCCGCGACGAAGGCCGCCGCCGAGGATGACAAGTTCCCATGGCGCGGCCCGGGCGCCGGCTGGCGGTCGACGATCTTCGAGTGGTTGCGCACCGCAGTGGCCACAAAGGGATGTGCGCACTGCAGCAAGATGGTCGCACCGCCGGCCATGATGGCCGCCGTCTCCGGCAAGATGAGGTACGACCCCTTGGGAGCATGGGCAAAGAGGGGAATGTCCCGCCAAATCTCCCCCTCGGTGGACTTGAACCAGTCCCAAGTGAGCGGCCGGCGGCGCTCGGCCGCCAACGACCAGAGCCCCTTCTCGTCGACGGCGGGCCGATTCGGCGACGAGGGGTCCAAACTGTGGCAGATGGAGTATGACCGCCGCTGCCGCGGCCGGGGGAGGCTATTGGCTTCGGCCGGGCTGCTGAGCACCGACGAATCGCCACTCCGACCGGGGTCGGCCACGCCCGCCGGCGGCGGAACCAGGGCCGGCGGCAGGGGCGGGCTGTTGCTGGGGTTGATGGTGATCCGGGGCAGGGAGGCCGTTGGGGGCCGGCTCACCGCCTGGGGTACCTGGACGAGGGGCGAGGGGGGCTGAACCAGGATCTGGTGACCGGCCGCAAGCAGGGACGCCGGCGGCAGCGGCGGCAGCTGGCCCCTCTCCGGACTGGCGGCCTTGCTGCCGTCTCCCTGGGCCCCGAGGGCCAGCGGGGTGAACCCCTCCGAGGTGGAAAGCATCTCCAGCCGGGCGGAGAAGCTCCCCCGACGAGTGGCCGCGGTGAACCGCGACACCAAATTCGGCCCAGCCAGCGGGAGGGAGGCCGAGAGGGGTTGCGATGATGCCGGCCCCGCCATGTGCCCATCCGGCGAGATGGCCGGCGGCCGTGGCTCCGGCCGGATGCGTGGCGGCAAGGGGCAGCTGCCGGCCTCCGGTTCCTGCGGCATGGTCGGCCGGCCATTGGCCACACCCTTGGCCAGGCTATTGCGCCGGGACAAAGCCGGAGGCAAGGGCACCTCGGAAATGACACGGGCCCGAGGGGGTCGCCAAGTGGCCGGATTGCCGCGGCTCGAAAATACCATGTCGGCATCGATCCGGGCAGGCAGGCTCTCCACGGCCGGCTGGTCGGCCAGCGTCGGAGCCGCCGTCGTCGTCGGGGCCGCCGTCGCCGTCGCCGTCGCCGTCGCCGTCGCCGTCGCCGTCGCGCCATTTGCGGCCATTTGCGATGGAGGCGAGGGCGGGGGCGACAGAGGCCGGACGCCAGGCCCCACGCGACTGGTGGAGATCAAAGACACAACGCCGCCGCTGGCCGCCGGACAACGGGAGCTGATGATGCTGACACTGGCATCCTCATCGTCCATGACGCCGAGGGGGACCTGGCCTCCGAGGGCCATGGACAGTCCCGACCGGCAGGAGAAGCTATCCCCCGGGCTGGGGCCCGGCCGAGCAGCAAGGACCCCGCATGCTGGCGAGCCGGAGGCCGCAGGCCCGGCGAGGCCCTGCATCGTGGGACTGACCCAGCCTCCGATGCTGGGCGATGCCGAATAGGGGCTGGCCGATTCCTGGATGGGACTCAGGCCAGCCGGCTTCCAGCTCATGGCTCGGTGCTCCGGGTTGCTTGGCATCCCGGGGGGGTGACTGTTCGGGGTGTAAAGCTGCATCGGATGGAGGCCCAGCGGGTGCGCTGGACCCGGGGGCGGCATCGGTCCCGGGGCCGGGGCCGGGGCCGGGTCCTGAGCCGCCCGGCCGCCGGGCACCGCAAGGGCCCCATCATGCGGCAAGGGCCTCGGGCCCGGCATGCCCAGCACCGATGCCGGCCCGGCCACATTGCCCGGGCACTGCGAGGCCACATGCGGCAGGGCCGGCGGCAGCTCCGGGGTCCCGGTCTCCGAGAAGCCACGAGCATGATTGGCCAGCAGTAGCTCGGCCACTGGGCGCGCCGGCAGTAGGGGCTTGGGGGCCAGGGGCTGCTGGAAAGTGGGACTTGCCGGCCCGGCGGCCTGCATCGAGGCGTCGGCAAAGCTCCGGGTCACCGAGGCCGGCGTCAAGGGCGGGCTATTGACAAAGGGGCTGCCATTACACATTGATGGACTGGCCAGCGCTTCCAGGCGATCGGAAATGGGCTCCGGCAGGGCGGCCACACGCATGGGCGGCGACCCGGGCAGCGAGGGCGACCGCTGCTCTCGCGGCCGCGGGCAGGGCGGCAGCTCGATCGGCTTCAGTGGCAGTTCCGCCATCGGCTGCGTCAGGCCCGAATGCGAGGCAGGCCCAGCCGGTGGCACCACGCTGGCCGCTCCAGCAGCGGGCACACACGCGACCGCAGGAGGGCCAGTCATCGGGGCGGGGGCATCGGCTGCCGCCGCCGCAGCAGCCGCCGCCGCCGCCGCCGCCGCCGCAAGGGCATCGAAGGAAGTCGACGGCGAGGAGCAGCCATGAGACCAGGGCCCGGCCGAGTGGGGCGTCGGCCCGGGATAGGCGCTCGGCAGGGGGGAAGACTGTTGCGACGTCAGGCGGAAGGGACCGAGCGAGGCGCGACGCATGCGTGTGCGTGTCGCTGGCCCCGTGGCATCGCCCATGCCACTGGCCGCTGCTGTCGGGCCCCCAGCGCCGTTGGCGGCGGGACTGGGCGAGCAAGAGCGCGAGGCACCAGCCTCGGGAATCGAGGGCATCGCCAAGGAGGCCGGCGGGGCTCCGGAAGGGGCGCTAACCGAGCCGGGCCCGGCGCCCGGCGCCGCCGCCGCCGCCGCCGCCGCCGCCGCCGCAGCCGCAGCCGTCGTGGCAGCCACATGCCCGGCAATCACCGACCCCATGGTGGGCTTCGGGGGGAGAGCCGGCAGTGGGGCTGTCTGGCCGGCGAGAGTGGCCCGAGCCTCGGCCGAATCGCCGGCCTCATTCAGTGACGACAGACGGGCACTCAGCAGCTTCAGGCGGGGGGCCGTGCGGATGGCCGGCCCGGGGGTGACCCCGGCCTGACAGGCGCCGAGGATGCGCTCCCGCGCATCGTGTGCCACATTCAGCACCATGCGATCGTATGTCTCGTTGTCCACCGTCCGGTGGGGGCTGAACTCGTCGTCCTCCACCGCGTCCTGGAAGGGGAGCTTGCGGTTGATGATCCAGTGGGCGGTTTTCTTGATGCTACCGGCCGAAACCTTGATGCCACGCTCGGAGAAGGTCCCCCCGGTGGACGGGCCACCGCCGAGGGAGGCCCGCCGGCGGAGGAGCGCCCGCGACGCCACCGACAGCAGGCCCCCGGACAGGGCCGACCAGGAACTCGGCATGGGCCGGGCCCCCTTGCGACTGGCGCCGGCGCCGGCGCCGGCCACCGCCGCCGCCGCCGCCGCCAGGGTGGTGGTCGTGGTGGTCGTGGTGGTCATGGTGGTCGTGGTGGTCATGGTCGTGGTGGTGATGAGATCCATGTGGGGGATGCAGGTCCGCGCCGGGGCCCCGCCGCCAGTGGGGTTGCCCGGCCGCGAGCCACGCCCGGACGTGGCCGGGCGAATGGCTCGGAAAATGTCCAGCGGACCTTCACCCTCACAGCCTGGGCCGGCTCCGGCGGCGTCAGCCGCCGAGGCCCCATGGGTGTCGGTGTCGGACTCATGGTCGTCATCCAGGACCGTGATCGAGCCGGCACCGGCCAGCCCGCCGGACCTGGGGTCCGCCAGCAACGGGTTGGCCCCGTGCTCCGGCGACCACACCCGATCGTCCACAAAGCGCTGATCAAAGTGCCGGAACTGCACCACCTCCGTGGAGTTGGACTGGATGACGATGTCACAGGAGAGGGTGCGCTTGACACGCGGCAGTCGGGCCGCAGGGACCGCGGCCGATGACAGCCCGGCAACCGGCGGCCGCTGCAGGCGCAGGGCCTCCGTGTACCGTGCAAGGCCCGGCAGCATGCTGCCCCCGGTCGCCCGAGGCCCCGGACCCCGGGCCAGGGAGCTGACTGAGCCGAGATTGCCCGGGGACCCGGTGCCGATCGGCTCCTCGGCAAAGCCGCCGGCGCTCTTGGTCCGGCAGAGGACCCGCCGGCGGGCCAGCAGGCTGGCGGAAATCGCGGGGCCTGTGGCCGAGCTGGCACGGCGAGTAATGGCCCGGACTTGATTCCGCGAGGCTGCCCACTCGTGCAGGGGCCGCACGCCGCCGGTTTGATCGTGCAGCAAGGAAAAGCGCCGAAAGAGGCTCTTCGCCGAGTCCGATGCCCGGCGCTGCCCGGCCGCCATCGACTCCGAGGCTTGGCCGGACTCCGTCATCGCCGGCGCCAGGGGATGGCGTGCCTCCGGACGGGGGCCGTCCGCACAATGGGCCGGCTGGCAGCTGGGCGAGGCTCCGGCGGCGGCATCCGTGGCTCCAGTCCGACGGAGAGGCTTCAACACCAAGCGCGCCTGCTGGCGAAGATAGGCCTTCTCATGGTCCAGGCGCTTGCGGCTGAGACGAACATTGACCAGCTCCTTCTTGGTGGCCCGCTTGACGGCGGCCGCGCGCTCGCGATGCCGACGCAGATAAATGTACACCTGCCAGGTGTTGACCACCACCCACACAAAGCCAGCCACCGCCAGCAGGGCAAAGAGCAGCCCCGCACGTAGGATGGCCGACTGGACCGAGGACTCCAAGAGCCCGATGCCGAAAAGCTTGAGCATGATGTCAGCTGGAGGAGGCCGAGAGGTGGTCAACCGAATGTGAGGCTGTCGGGAGAGGGGGGGG